AAAAAAAAAAAAAAAAAAAAAAGAATGGAATACTCTGGTCTATTTTAAAAAATGTTTTTATCTTAGACCTTCCAAAAACACAAGGGAATTTTTTTCCAATGTTCACTCTGAAAACCTGATAGAGCTCCTGGAGGTAAAACTCACAAAACCTTTGGGACACCCATGATGAGAGTTTTGAACCAGACTTGTCCACACTGAGCTTCCAGCTATTCATCAATTACAGTGCAAGTTTTCCTATCCCAGCACTGGTTTCTGCAGACATTTCTGCTTGTGGGTTTCTCTTCTGGTGAATTGTCACTCTCCATAGCTTCCTGTCTAATTTTAGAGGCAGTTGTTTGCCCTGTTACTGAACTTCTCTGAGAGATCTTAGAAGAGTTTAGTTTGTTCAGCTTTTCACTTGTTAGGACAGAGTAGTGACTTCTAAGATCCTTGTAAGTCAGACTGGAAACTGGAAGTCTCCCTGTTACAATTTTCCGGTTTCCTTCCTGTATTGATCTTAAATAACACTGGTGATAGAAGATATTGGGCTGTATTCCCATGAAAAGAGTGAATACGTCTAAAAAATTTCCTTTGAGAATATTAGTTGCTGGTTTATGAAAGGAATCCTTTATTATATCAAGAATAAAACCTTGTATCTTTATAGGCTTTTAATGAGTACTGAGTTTCCTCCATTGGCAGCTACTAAGAAAAGAGTATGGAGGTACAGTAGGTGATGCGAAGAGGTGAGGTAACTGAGGAAGGGAAGTGGGTGAGGAGATATATAATTAGCATTCTTTAACATCTTCAACATGATTTTCTTGATTGTGTTTTTTTACTCTCATTGTGAGAAATCATATGGCAAATAATACACTAAATCTGTGCAATTAACCCCAACTTTTTTCTTTTTAATTGACACAATCATTGTACATAAAGTACAATGTGATGTTTCAATGCATATATACATTGTGTAATGATCATATAAAGTTAATTAGCAAATCCATGATCTCAAACATATTTCTATGTGACAAGAGCATTAAAAACTTCTCTATTCTATTTTTAAGATATGTTATTATTAACTATAATCCCACTACCATGCAGGAGAACAACACAGCTTATTCTTCTAACAATAACATACTTTTCCAATACCCTTCTTAGGACAAGGTCACATTCTTTTGCCTAGAGTGGTGGGAAGTGGTGCAGTCATAGCTCACTGCAGCCTTGAATTCCTGAGTTCAGGCTGGTCTCAAATTCCAGGACTCAAGTGATCCTCCACCCTCAGCCTCTCAAAGTGTTGGGATTACATGCATAAGCCACAACACCTGCCCCCAACAGCTTTTTCTCATATTTTTTAATATCCATGTTCACTTGGTATATTTCAGTTCCCAACTAGTTTCCTTGAAGCATTTCTAGATGAAACCTTTATCTATTGGAGTGAATTTTCATATCTTATCTCTGGTCTTTTATACAATTTTTACCCTAAGTATAATGAACTTGCTCTTGTATCTTATATCAATATTTTTTTCTGTGTTCTCTTTCCCTAATATATTCTCAGTTCCTGAAAATAATTACTTAGTTTACATCTACAGGGCTCTTGTTAAGGTACTCAGTAGATACGGAGTTGATTTAAAGACGCAAGAAAGGAATTTGAGGTTTATCAGTATTGACATAATTATTTTAATAGCTATTTCACTGTCTCCCCATCTTAATCTTTCATGTATTTTGTGTACCCAAGATAATAGGTACAGATCTTGATCCATTATTGAGATATGCATTAAATATTTCATTAAAGAAATATAGTCTATTTACTTTTCCCTAAAAGCTTACAGTGAGAGTGATAACAGACAGCATTTTTCCTAAAGTGTCAAAGTATGTTAGACTCAAATGAAATGCATTTTTAGATGTTATAGGGAAGTAATTTTAAAATAAAAGTTGTAAGAACAGTACAAAGAATGCCCACATTCACCTTTGCTTACACCCATTTGCCTTATTTGGCATACGATTTTTCTTCTGAAACGTTTGAGAATAAGTTATATATATTATGGTCTTTTACCTCTTACACATAATTATAGATTTCCTAAGAATAAGAATCTCCTAAGAATATGAATGTATTTTTAAAGAAACACTTCATATTATTTTGAAATTCGGTTCCAATTTAAAAATCATGAAATCCATCTTAAAATTCAGCATGGAGAAAATTAGGGCTTATATTTGTCAAACACATTTGATATTAAGACACTTTTTCCAATTTTCATTTTAGGTTAAAGGTTACTCATGTTATATGAGTAAACTGTGTGTCATGGGGGTTTGATGTACAGATAATTTTGTCACCCGGTAATCAGCATCATGCCCAATAGTCAGGTTTTTAATCCTCAACCTCCTCCCACCCTCCAGTCTCAAACAGGTCCCAGAAAAGACATAATTGTACCAAATATGAGCTTCATAATAGTTCAGAAGGTAGATTTGGAGTGAGGATAAGTGATAGGTTTCTAAGAAACCACTTATTTTTTTCACTAGAGTAAGTTATTGTAAGATGTTCCAAAGGCACTAAGTGAACAGAATCTAATGTCTTTGTGCAACCTGACAAACATTTGCAGTTTGTTTATTAGCAGCATTATGAAATTGCCATTTTTAGAGAATTCTGGCAGTAAGTACTGTTTAAATGGTGGTGAGGAAGACTAGCAAGCTATCCTTCACAAATACTTTCTTCCTGTTAGCTCTATTTTCACCACTTTTCAATTACTTATATTTAATCTTTCTCCTTATTTACCTATATCTCTATCTCTGTTTGACCTTTTCTGAAGTTCTGGGCATACAGACTTCACAGTCATAGATAGCTGTGAAAGCCATGCATACTATTGATAAGATTTTTTAAAAATTAATTCTGTTGCTAAAGAAGGGAGAATGGTCTTATTTTATTCAGTACAGGAAAAAGAAACATTTACTTTTTTGGGGTATCTTTCAGTTTCAGAGTCAAATGGTGAGATCAAAGACTTTTCATCAAAAAATGTCATTTATGATGACTCATCCCAGTATTTGATCATGGAAAGAATTCTAAGCCAAGGCCCTGTATATTCCAGTTTTAAAGGAGGCTGGAAGTGCAAGGATCATATTGAGATGCTGCAAGAAAATCAAGGATGTATAAGGAAAGTAACAGTCTCTCATCAAGAAGCCCTGGCCCAACATATGAATATCAGTACCGTGGAGAGGCCCTATGGATGCCATGAATGTGGAAAAACTTTCAGTCGACGCTTTTCCCTGGTGTTACATCAGAGGACTCATACTGGAGAAAAACCATATGCGTGTAATGAATGTGGCAAAACCTTTAGCCAGATTTCAAACCTTGTGAAACATCAAATGATACATACTGGAAAGAAACCCCATGAATGTAAGGACTGTAATAAAACATTCAGTTACCTTTCATTTCTTATTGAACACCAGAGAACACACACTGGGGAGAAACCTTATGAATGTACTGAGTGTGGAAAGGCATTTAGCCGTGCCTCCAACCTCACTCGACATCAGAGAATTCACATAGGAAAGAAACAATATATATGTAGGAAATGTGGGAAAGCATTTAGCAGTGGTTCAGAACTCATTCGCCATCAGATTACACATACTGGAGAGAAACCTTATGAATGCATTGAGTGTGGGAAGGCATTTCGCCGTTTCTCACACCTTACGCGGCATCAAAGCATCCATACAACCAAAACCCCATATGAATGTAATGAATGTAGGAAAGCTTTCCGTTGTCACTCATTCCTTATTAAACATCAGAGAATTCATGCTGGAGAAAAGCTCTATGAATGTGATGAATGTGGTAAAGTTTTCACTTGGCATGCATCCCTTATTCAACATATGAAAATTCATACTGGAGAGAAACCCTATGCATGTGCTGAATGTGATAAAGCCTTCAGTCGAAGCTTTTCCCTCATTCTACATCAGAGAACTCACACTGGGGAAAAACCGTATGTATGTAAGGTATGCAACAAATCCTTCAGCTGGAGCTCAAACCTTGCTAAACATCAGAGAACACACACTCTTGACAACCCCTATGAATATGAAAATTCATTTAATTACCACGCATTCCTTACTCAACACCAGTGAATTTACAGTGTAAAGAAAAACTATGAATGTATGGAATTTTTTTTAAGAAGATAATGCCTTACTTTTGCTTCAGAGAACTCTTGGAAAGAAGCCTTATGTGAAAGTGATGAATGTGAAGGCCCACACTTATTTAACATCCTGAGCAAAAAGCCCAGGTATATGTGGAAAAGCCATTAGTAAACACTTTTTTTTTTTTTTTTTTTTTGCAATAACAAGGTGAAATCAATATTGTGAAGAAGATTCTTCCATCTGGTAACATTGAGAAGACTTCATTTGGTAGGATTCCCTTACTCTACATATGTAAATTCCTACCAGTAAAGAGTACATATCCAGTAAATTTGAGAAAGCTAGAGATCAGCCCTCATTCTGCATCTGTCAGCCTGGACAGACTGCATGGGTAAGGGATGAGCTTTACAAAGATGTACTTTGGAGATGAGAAAATTGATGTTTAAGCAAAGTGATACGAGCAGTGATTTGGGAATGCCTTCAATTATAATGCAATACTTAAACGTTAATACTCTTGTAGGAGAAACAGCAACTATATAAATGAATGTAGAGTGACTTTCTGTAATATTTCAAACCTATATCAGAATTACACTGTGGGAAAACTACCATTGTAATGTGTAGCAAAATCATCTTGGATATCTGAAAAGTCATACTGGATGCAATCTGTTGGAAATGGTTTTATTTTGAGGGAAGGGGGATTTTTGTTTTTTTAAGTGAATTCAAAAAAGTTATAAATAAATCTTCTGGTTTATAAATCTTGTACTTCCTGATTTTTTTCCCACAACTTGTGATTCTTAAAATGTAACTGTATTGACATAAAAAACAGTAGTGTGCTTTTGTTGAAACACACAAACATACCTATAGAAGTGTTTTAGGTGTTTTATGGTTTTAACTTTCAGTTTGGATTTAAGGTAATGCTAACTGACAGTTATCCTTGAATCTATCTATAGACATGTTACTCAGTGTGAAATAAGTGTGAATAAGATACATGACAGAAAATTACCAAGGTACTCTTCCTGTTTTGTTCCATGTACAGTGAAAATCATTCTTTTGTAAGCAGGTATTTAAAACTGTTCTGGCATTATCTGCTGCCCAGCTGGCAAAGCTCACGTCAACAGGGTGAGTTTGCTTTGATCAGGAAGGTAAGCAAGCAATTTTATTTTGTAGAAAGAGAAGTAGAGTGGCCGGGCACGGTGGCTCATGCCTGTAATCCCAGCACTTTGGAAGGCCGAGGCAGTCGGATCACGAGGTCAGGAGATCGAGACCATCCTGGCCAACATGGTGAAACCACATTTCTACTAAAATCCAAAAATTAACTGAGCGTGGTGGTGTGCGCCTGTAGTCCCAGCTACTTGGGAGGCTGAGGCAGGAGAATTGCTGGAACCCAGGAGGTGGAGGTTGCAGTGAGCCAAGATGCGCCACTGCAGTCCAGCCTTGTGCCTGAATGAGACTGTCTCCAAAAAAGAAAAGGAAAAAAAGAAGAAAGAGAAGTAGAGAATATGAATAGGAATGAATTTAGTGAGCATTAATGTAATGGCTACATTGAGGGCACATTTGTAGAAGGTGTTATTAAATAACTCATAAGTAATTCTGTAAGAGGTGGACTTTTAAGAATTTTAGTCAAAAAATGCCTTATTTACATGTACTAGAGTTCTAAATACATTATTAGAAGTGTATTTCCTCAAACCTGCATTGGCATGCCATGTACATACATTTAGCTTCTCAAGTTTCTGTTAAGAGTTGTTTAGGAGAGGCTGACTCAAATACAGATAGCATGCCTTATTACATATGGGTATCTAATATCTGATTTGGTTTTCTCAGGCAGCAATGGTTTGTATCAGGATAAAAATCAAGTTACCCTGTCAGCAATATTAGAATATGAAAAATTCATTATTTATTTAAGGGTATCCTATTTTATTTATTTAAGGGTATCTCCCACTATCTGCTCCACATCCATTCTCCTTCCTGTTGTCTACTCTGTGGAGATGCCTCATGAACTATGTCGGAGGTCATCAAGCTGCAGCCCATGGGCCAGGCATTCATTTACATAGTCTGTGGCTCCTTAGCTCTACAACAGAAGAGTTGAATATATTGCCATAAAGGCTAAACATTTACTATCTAGCTCTTTACAGAAAGAAACTTGGTCAACCCCTGACTGCATCAAATCTTTGCCCTCTAGTTTTTGTTGCGTGCAGCCAACATTGAGAATGTTTACTCTGGAGCAGGGGTGTCCAATCTTTTGGCATCCCTGGCCCACACTGGAAGAATTTTCTTGTGCCACATACAAAATACAGAAAAAAGATTGGACATCCCTGCGTTAGAGGGAGATGTAAGCATCAGAATGAATTATTATGTTCATTTTGTTCCCTTAACCAGAGAAAGGCCAAAAGACACTCCCTTCAGGGTATTAAGAAATACACTGGAGAGGAAGGTACCACCCTCCTTGGACAACTCTGTGGTACCTACCCTCCTTACACTGTAGATGATGTGGAAGTTTCAAAATGAAAGTAAGATCCCACTTTCAGCAAATCATGGGATCTTGGCATGGGAGGGGTTGGATAAAATTTGCACATGAGTCCAAGGAATGCACTGGTAATGAGAATTTTAGCCATATAGGTGGCAATGGCTAAATGATCATGGGGTTCCTAGAAATAAATGGATAGCCCGCAAAGGTACTATTTGACATATGGTTGAAGCCAGTTCACAGTCCTAAATCTCAACTGATGGGGAGGCAGGTCCCTTTAAGAAAGACTGTTGCAATTGGGAGAGGGGCTCATATGTACACTGTGAAAAAACTGGTAACCTGTATTTTCATACTGAGCTAAAATATCCTTCAGAAATAAAAATGTTTCAGAATAACAAAAATGGAGGAAAGTTATGGTAGCATGCTAATCCTAAAAGAAATACTAGTTTTTCAGGCAGTATGAAATAATCTTAGATAGAAACTTCAAAATGCAGAAAGAAGTAACACTGGAGGGGTAAGTATGCTGATAAATACAAGTCAGGTTTTGGGAAATTATGGTCCATGGACCACATCAAGACCTTTGAGCTAAGAATGATTTTAACATCTCTAAAAAGCTGCTTAGAAAAATGAAGAAGAATATGCAACAACAACCATACATGGCCTGCAAAACCTAGAATATTTACTCTCAGGACCTCTTCAGAAAAAGGTTGTCTACTCTAATATAAATATTGACTTTTCATAACAATTTCTAGTGGAGTATAAAATATACATCAAACTAAATAGCATGATAATAGCACAAGAAAGGAGGGAGACAGTTAAAAGGTGAGTCTAGGCACATTGGGAAGGTAGCAAAAGTATTAATTTGGGTCTTTCATGATCTGGGGGCTGGTTAAGTGTGTTCTATTTGGGGAAATTCATAAAGATGCATGCTTTTCTCTATGTATTATTATGCTTCAGAGAAAAAGGTTTTTTTAACATAAGTGTCCCAGAAGATTATTAAAACTAATCTTCAGCATTAATAAAAGAAGTTACTAGGAATGCAGCAAGGGGATACAGCAACAGATGCAATCAATATTAGTAAAGAATAGTCATGGGAGAATGACCATAATTCTGTATTTTCTTGGAAAGCAACAATCAAATGCTATGGGAGACTTAAGATACTCACAAATAGATAAAGCTGGGTTAACTTTTGTTGCTGTGATGCCCCCAAAAGAATTTTCGATCATACTTCAATGTATCTAATGACAGGGGCTAAGTGGCTCATGCCTGTAATCCCAGCACTTTGGAAGGCCAAGGTAGACAGATCACTTGAGGTCAGGAGTTTGAGACCAGCCTGGCCAACATGGTGAAACCCCATCTCTACTAAAAAAACCAAAAAAAAAAAAAAAATCCAGGTGTGGTAGCAGATGCCGGTGGTCCCAGCATCTGAGGAGGCTGAGGTAGGAGGATCACATGAGGCCTGAAGGTTGAGGCTCCAGAGAGCTGAGATTGTGCCACTACACTCCAGCCTGGGCAAGATTGAGACAGTGTCTCAAAAAAAAAAGAGATGAGTATTACAGAAGTAATTTTTAAAAAATCAATTCTGCATCTTGTATACCCTCAATATCACAAAGGACAAAATCACATAGAAGAAAAATTGATATTGCATCAAAAATATTTTAGAAAAATCAGAACTCACATGAAACTGTGCTCATAGGTGGAAAATATAATTTTATGTGTCTGACATGCATTTCTTAAGTTAGAGGTAAATTTAAATCATGATATATACGAGCTACGAATTCCCTGTTTATGCTAAAGCAAATCTCAATGTCTTTTGAAAAGTGAATAGAACTTACGGAAAAATTAAGAAAAGAAACCCAATAACTTATGGAAAAATTAAAAAGTAAATAAAATAAAAAAGTGAATGCGTAGTTTTCTGGCATTCAGATTTCATACATGAACTATTGCAATAGCTTCCTAGTCTCTCAAGATTTTTTATACAAAAGCAGTGTGATCTTTTAAAAACAAAGAGTTTCAATCTCTCAAAAATCCTTAAATAGCTCCTCATAGCTCTTCAAATAAAGTAGAAACTCATGTCACAGCTGGCAAAGTCTTTTGTTATCTGGCCCCTGCCTCCTTTCAATCTGGTTTCATATACTCTTCTCCTTACCCCTTTGCCTAATAGTTTTCCAGTTACTGGACTTACTTTCTGTCCACATATATGTCAAAGCCTGATGAACCCTTTTGTTCTACTTAGAAAGCTCTTCCTCTGTCCCTCCACTCCCTGCCCATGGAGCCGGAAGGAGGAGCTTCCTATTCCCTCTTTTCCTTCATATTTCAAGTTGAATGTTACCTTCTCATGGAGACCTTTCTTGACTGATTTTTAACAATTTTTACTATTTTATTTTAGAGACGGAGTCTTGCTCTGCCACCAGGCTGGAGTGCAGTGGTGCAATCTCAGCTCACTGCAACTTCCATCTCCTGGGTTCAAGTGATTCTCCTGCCTCAGCTTCCCAAGTAGCTGGGACTACAGGCATACGCCACCATGCCCAGCTAATTTTTGTATTTTTAGTAGAGACGGAGTTTAACCATGCTGGCCAGGCTGGTCTCAATCTCTTGACTTCATGATCCGCCCACCTTGGCCTCCCAAAGTCCTGGGATTACAGGTGTGAGCCACTGTGCCCAGTCTCTATTTGTTTTGAGACAAAGTCTTGGTGTTGCTCAGGCTGGAGTGCAGTGGCACAATCTCAACTCGCTTCAACC